ACTCATGGGCAGTTTGTTTGTGTAACCATTGCTTTCATTTCTCTTGGGAACATAACCCTGGGATTGGAATTGCCTGTGTTTAACTTTTTGAGAATTGTTTTCCAGAGTAGCTGTACCATTTTACATATCTGCTTTTAGTATATCCCAAAGTAAAAATCCATAAACATGATTAAATTCTAATAGAGGTGCAGATTATGCTAGGAGAAAAAGCCAAACTTCAAGGGTATACATGGAATGATTCCATTTATGTAATATGCAACAGGCAAAACTAGAAACAGGTAACAGATCAGTACTTCTAGGGGCGGAAGAAAACTTTTAGCGGTGATGGAAATGTGTGTTATCTTGATTGTGGTGATGGTTAACATGAGTATGTTTGTCAAAATTCATAGAACTGTACATCGTAAAAGGGGGAATTTTGTATATGGATTATATTTCAATAAATCTAACCCCCCCAAACAGAAATGTGTAACATCTAAGTGAAATATAAACAAAGAGACTCCATCTACTTATATTCTAGAAGAATATATTGTGACCAAGTAAGGTTTATTTCAGGAATGCAGGGTTGGTTCTATAGTATTATAACAATTTACTATATCTACATAGTAAAGGAAAAAGTATATGATATCAAAAACGAACAAAAAGTATTCTAGGGAGCAAAGCTAGCCAGGCATATGTGTTGGGAAAACTTAACAGCCCCTTCCAAAAAAATTTAACTAGACCACTGTCTTACAACATATATAAAAATTAACTCAAAATGGGTTAAAGGTTTGTACCTAGTACCTGAAACCATAAAACTAGAAGCAAGCATAGACACAAGCTCCTTGATATCATGCATCACCAAGAGCAAAGTGGACATCAAGAGTGTGAGAGAATTTGCTTTGCTCTTACATATTCTCATGTTATATTGCTTCTTAAGCACAAAGTCTTTTAAAAACGTCCAGTAAAAATTTTAAGTAACATTTAAGAAAGACTTAGTAAATGTCTAAACTTTTTTAAAAAACCGTAAAGCACCTAATTTAAAACAATGTTAAGTGTACGTCAATCTAATGTCACTTGTCTAACAGAAATGGACAGAAACATAATTGGTAACTGGAACTGTTAAGATCAGTATTGTTAGTGTATTATTCAGATGGTTTCTTTCAACAACTGATTGTTACGTAACACTTGCAAAACTGAAAACAGATGACTTTTGGTGTTGGTGTGTGTGTCTACTTTGTGTAGGTCCTGATCAAACAGGAAATACAAAGGAAGAGTGGCTATGCCATACAAGCTGACGAAGAGCAGTTACGAGTTCAGCTAGATACAATTCAGTGTGAACTAAACGCACCTACTCAGTTTAAGGTAAGCATATCAAACCATAAAGCTAGAATTTGTTTCAGGTGGATCTGCAGATAAATGCCACATGGTCTTCAAAAAAGGAATTTTGTATACTTAATAAATACAAGTATTCTCTTTACACAAAATTTTCTAAAGTAGCCTCTTAATTGTGTTATTTTGGGCTTGTATTACTGTTTCAAATAATGTACAGGGGGAGAATTGCACAAATTGCTTATAGTACCTATTAAAAGAAAACATTCTCTTTAGAAGTGGTACTCTTGTTTGCAGTTGTAATTTGACTGTCTTATTTTAGGGCCGACTGAATGAACTGATGTCCCAAATCAGGATGCAGAATCACTTTGGAGCAGTCAAATCTGAAGAAAGATATTACATAGATGCAGATCTCTTACGAGAAATCAAACAGGTAAGTGTTGCACTAGAGTGCACTTCTAAAAAGGTGAATTTACTTATTTTGCTGAGCATGATCCCTTCCAGCTCTATCCATGTTGCTGCAAATTGCATGTGTTTATCTTTTTTGAATGCTGAGTAATATTCCATGGTGTATATGTACCACATCTTCTTGATCCAGTCATCTATTTTTGGGCATTTGAGTTGTTTCCAAAGCTTAGCTATTTGTAAATAGTGCTGCTATAAACATAGGGGTGCAGGTGCTCTTTGGAATTGATGTTTCTGTGTCCTGAACCAGATACACTCTATGGGGGCTGGGGGGCGGGGAAAGGAGGGATTCGGGTCAACATAAGGGGGTTGCAATTGTATGGGGAATATAAAAATAAAATTAAAATTTAAAAAAAAAGAAAGGGACAAAAGAAACATGACAACTAAATGTCACATGTTATATTGGGACAGCGGGCAAAACTTTGCATTGGGCCTGAGAATTAGATGGTAATAGAAATGTATCTACTGATTTTGAAGACATTATCTGATTTTGATAGATCATTGTGGGAATTATAGTAGCGTGTTTTAACTTAGAGCAAAGACAGTGAAGTATGCAAGGGTGATAGGGTACTGTATCAGCAATTTACATTCAAATGGTTCTGGAAACAAAATGCTTTGTGCTTGTTGCTTTTCTGAAAGTAAAAGCATCATGGCCCCTTCAAGATAAATAAGAATAAAAAAGATTCTTTAAAAAAAAAAAAAAAGGGTGAATTTACTACTATATATCTATTATGATGGCTCAAATCCAAAAAACAGAAAATAAATGTTGGTGAGGAGAGAACCTTTGTGCATTACTGGTGGCAATGTAAAATGGTGCAGCTGCTGAGGGAAATAATACGGCAGTTCTTTAAAAATTAAGCAAAAAAATTTTATGATTTCACTTATATGAGGTAGCTATAGTAGTCCAGTTCAAAGACAGAGAGTAGAATGGTGGTTGCCAGGGACTGAGGGGTGGGGTAATGGAGAGTTAGTGTTTAATAGGAACAGAAAATTAAAAATAAAAACATTCTCGAGATAGGTGATAGTGATTGTGGAGCAACAATATGAATGTAATTAATAGTGCTGAACTGTACATTTCAAAATGCTTTAAATGGAGAATTGTTATATATGCATTACTACAATAAAAAAAAAAAGCTCCCCCCTAAAAAGATGAATTCATTGGTAGTGGATGCACTGGAATTCCTTAGACCCCACTACCCAATATGCAGACAATAGCAGTCACACCTGGAATGTCATTAGAAATACCAACCTAAGTTCTCACTTTAGAAAACCTACTTATTCCCATTTTCTCAAGATCATAGAGCGACTTGTATGCATGCTAAATTTTGAGAAATAGCTGCACTATATCCTATTTTCTTAATCTGTATGCCACATATAAATTAGCCCTCAGCAGACCTGGGTAGAGGTCAGGGTGACCAGTACCTCCAACCACTTGTCTAAAGCTGATCTTGTATGAAAAAGTTGGGAGGTATTCCCCTAGCTTATTTCATAGGATAAATAGACTGGCTTAATGAAATGGAAGGATTTAACATCCAATCACTGACTATGTCTAGAGAAAAAATATTAAGATGGTAAACTTTGTAGAATTTATCAGGTAGAACTGGCATGGCCATGAGGATTTTAGATGGTTATTTAAAAAAACAATCAGTATATTCAGTTTTACTATGGTCTTAGATTAGATGTTGCCATTTTATACATCTAAAAACTAGGTTTTTGGAAAGTATACATATACTTGATTATATTTCATGGTAAATACTTGAAAATAACTGAGTGATTCTAGCATATTAAAATAAAGGATTATGTAAAATGTATGCCATAAAATCGGGAATAACATAAGCACCTATCTAAAACGATGAAAAACTGTCTTTCAGGATTGAACCAAAGCTATTCACCCTTTTGTGACTGAGCCAGGTTGCTTAACTGTGTCTTGATTTCTTTTTATCTGCAGAGATAATAATGGCACTCCAAAGGGTGCTAAAGGGATTTAATGAGTTGTTAGTTACTACCCACCAAGTTCTTAAAACTGCCTTATAATAACTCGGAAGGATTCTGTCAGCAACAAGAGCTATCACCATTGTTATCACTTTGTACTTTAAAACATAAGTTTTACTTTTTGCCAGTCATCTATAGTTGAGTACTTTTTTTGTAATCTTTTATTCTCATACCTTTGTTTTTTATCAGGTTAGTATAGGCATTCAGAATTTCTGTTTAAGATATTGTTAATTATATTTGATTTTATTGCTTCTAGAGAATATATTACTGATAATCATATGAAAGTGTTAGCTAAAGACATAGTTTAAGTGTTTAAATATGTATTCCCACCATATTTAGAGTAGTTACTAAGTACTGTATTGCTAGTAAAATAGTGGGGAAAAGTCTTGTGAGAGAAGCTTTCAAATTACCAATTTTTTTTATTCTAGCATTTGAAACAACAGCAGGAAGGCCTTAGCCACTTGATTAGCATCATAAAAGATGACCTAGAAGATATAAAGTTGGTAGAACATGGATTGAATGAGACCATTCACATCAGAGGTGGTGTCTTTAGTTGACAGTGTACAACTTGTGCCAAGGGTTTGTGAAATGTATCTTCTTGCTACATCAGTCCTTCCTTAAGAATGAAGCTGACCACATGGAGGGAAAACAAAAAATCTCCTGGTTTGGTTTTTGTGAAGGTTTCTGAGAAATTTTTGTTTTTCAAGTCTGAAACAACATAGTCACATTACAGCTCTTCAAAGATAGCCTTTTGAAAGTGTGAAGATGTACTTTATAAAGAGAAGTACGTAATTGCCAGAAAATATGTACTGTCATACAGTTTTACAACAGCATTGTTAAAAGTAATCAATGTTTAATGATTATTCTCTATTGAGCCTGTACTCTGCTTTCCATAGCAAGTAAATATGAATTATCTACTTTGCACATAGCAAAATAAACTGTATAATACGTGGCTATTGGAGATTAGTACTTCAGAATGTAAATGTACATCAGCTTTTATATTTGTGAATTCACTTATGGGAGCAGTAAAGAAAATCCAAGAGTATTTAATGATTAATGTGGTTTTCTTTTCGTTCTATAAAGATTGGAAAATATATTTTTATATTATTTTACTTATTTGGAATTTACAGAACACAGCTAAGCAATTAGGATGTAACAAAATTACATTTTATCATTTTTACAACTTTTTTGTTTTTTAAACCTCTTTATTTCTAAAGATGAAAACATAAATAAATTCTTGATTATATTACTTTTATATAATTCTGTCTGGTGCTTTGTTTATTTGGCTTTGGGAGAATTAATCATTTGTGTCCACACAAGAACTAAATCATAATCACAATTCAAGAATTTTATAATTTCCTTGTTTTTGAGTCTGATTTTTTTGTTCCTAGGGAAAATTTATCAATGCTGATAAATACTTTAACTAGCACATGTAAGTAAAATTTAATTCAGATGTCATGTAAGATAAAGAATGCCCGAATTTAACAGGTTTTCTAAGTACATACTGTACATCTTCATTGCATCATATTGACCCCTCTTGGAATGCTTTAACTTTGTACTTTTATGTGATACTTTGGTTTATGAGAGGTGCCCTGTGAATCTTGTTGCGGCGTTTACCATGGAGAGGGTGAGGACTATGATGCACTGTATAGCCAGAGGCTTTCCGCTGAGATGCCACTGAAGGAAATTGTTTGCAGTTGCACACTAGAAAACAGTTGTGTAAGAGACTAAAAGTTTAAAACTAATTTTTTTTCCTTTCCTGGTTAGCTACTAGAAGTTTGCAACCACTTCTGTCATGTTTATGGCATGCAGATTTGCTATACTACTCTAAATATTACTCTCCTTCATCATACTTTCCTACTCACTGTTCTAATTCCAGCAGTGTTGGGAGAGGAATTTCTTTTCTCTCCTTGTCTGTTTTCTTTTTGGTCCAGAAAACAGGCAGTTCCATCCTCATCCACACAGCCAAGTGTGGACGAAGGCGCTTCTATCCCTTTGTACCCCACCTCCATCCTCTTTATAGTAAGAAGAGTTGCTAGTGGACAGGTGATAAATGGGGCATACTCTGCTCACTTCTAGCCTTTCGTTTTACATGTTGTAATATTGTTAGGTTCTTAATCCCAAGAAATACATACACCTGGCTAGGGCCCAGGGCTTGCCTTTTAAAGATCAGTCCAAGTCCAGTCAGCTGCCGAGGTTTGTGTCATACTAGTGACTGATATGCAAGGCAGAACTGCTGTTCCAGTTCATGTAGCTAATTAGGTAACTAGATTCGGTCTATACCCAGGTGTGTCCCAAGCAAGTGATAACCAAATTCTACATTTGGCTGGGGAGGATGAAAAAAGACCCATTTTGAACTTAGAACTAAGCTGTGTTCTCCAGCACAGATTATCAGAAGGTGTGTTTAGTCATCAAGTGGCCAAGGGTTCTTATGGACAGTCTGCTCAAGATTCTGTACATGGAGAGGTAAATGGTAGAAATAAGGCACATTATACCCCTAACACCTAGTTTAGATTTAATGCAGTTTATCTTCGAAATTGATCTTAAATCCTTTTTGAAACAAAGTGTAAGCAAGCATCAGTTACCAAAGCCTAACTTGGTCACTATTCAACTACCACATTTCCTTGGAGAAAAGTGGACACTGTGAAAAGTATTTACTGAGGGAAGATGAATTGAGGGGTGAACTATTTGAACTCAAAGTTTGATTCTTCAAAGATAATTAGGATATCTTTACAATTTAACGAATCAAATTCATGCTAAACACTAACACTGGGTATCTTAATAGCTGACAATTCTAGTGAAATTATGCCTAATAACCTTAAAAGTCTTTTATTGAATTCAATCAGAAGTATACAGATAGGTTTTTTTGTAATCCTAATACAGGAATAAGTGAAAAATGCATTTTATGGCATCTGGACCAACTTTTCTGAATTTGCAAAATGAATAACATTAAATACTCAATTCTCATTCTGTCAACTGACTTTGGCCAACAAGTGAAAAAGACCTTTCTTTTTGGTGACTTTACGAGGGATCCCTGTAATGTAATTATTCAAGTAAATAAAGACTCTACCAGACTACAGGCTATATAGCAACCTATAGTAAAAGCAGTGATAAAAATGGTGACTTTCCCAAAAGCTGGAAGGAGCATATTGCCAGAAGATGCAGAAGGATGGGTTTTGGGACCTGGAACTGGAACTGGATCTGGGCCTGGGTCTGGAGCTGTTAATGAGAACACACAGTCACTGACACATCATTTTCAATATAAAGTATCATCCACCATACCATATATGCAGAATATGCAGAGAAACATTAATGTTAGAAACTTACCTGAAATACTTAGAACCAGGAATAACTTTTGAATAAAGTTCATTACTGATTTCAGACTATTCCCGTTTGTGTGTGTGTGCATATGTGCATGTGCAGTGATCTAGATTTTATCTAGGATCTCACAAGCTTTCTAAATAATATAGACAAGACAGTTTTTTTATTGAAGTTCTCCAGAATTTCTTACCAATTTTCTTTTTTCACTTTCTGTATACTTTGGGTTTAATTCTTTATTTCAAGTAAGAGTGCATATGTCATGCATATTCTAATAGCTTCCAATAAACAAATGTAGCTACAAATTAATTATAGTTGCATTTATGCCTTGCAAGCTGATAAAGAATAATTTTTCCCCCTCCATACATACACAAAACACTGCCCTGGAGAAAACTACTTCTCTTTAATCTGAACCAACAAAAACAGTAGAGTTCACCCATCTCAGGATTATGTTTCACAGAGCCCTTAACCCAGAAAACTGCTGGCTCTCTTTTTGTTTAAATGGACTATATGTAAGGGGTCTGACTGGAAATAAGGAAAACAGACCAATTACAAGCAGTGAAATTGAAATGGTAATCAAAAATCTCCCCCAAAACAAAAGCCCAGGACCTGATGGATTTACAAATGAATTCTACCAAACATTCAGAAATGAACTAGTGCCTATCCTTTACAAACTCTTCCTAAAAATTGAGAAGGAAGGGATAATACCAAACACGTTCTATGAAGCCAACATTACACTAATACCAAAACCAAACAAGGACAACACAAAAAAAGAAAACTACAGGCCAATCTCCCTAATGAACACTGATGCAAAAATCCTCAATAAAATTTTAGCTATCAGAATCCAACAGTGTATCCATAAGATAATTCACCACGACCAAGTAGGATTCATTCCAGGGACACAAGGATGGTTCAACATCCGAAAATCAATCAACGTTATCCAACACATCAACAAAAAGAAATATAAAAACCATATGATAATAACAATAGATGCTGAGAAAGCTTTCGACAAAGTGCAACACCCATTCATGATAAAAGCCCTTGAAATTCTTGGGATACAAGGAACATACCTCAACATCATAAAGGCCATATATGACAAGCCAACAGCCAGTATCATTCTCAATGGTGAAAAGCTGAAAGCATTTCCATTAAGATCTAGAACAGACAAGGATGCCCACTCTCACCACTGCTTTTCAATATAATACTGGAAGGCCTAGCCAGAGCAATAAGACAAGAGAAAGACATATAAGGAATCCAAATAGGAAAAGAAGAAGTCAAATTGTCACTATTTGCAGATGATATGATAATATACATAGAGAACCCCAAAAACTCCACAGAAAAACTAATTCAACTCATCAATCAGTTCAGTAAAGTGGCAGGATACAAAATCAACACGCAAAAGTCAGTAGCCTTTCTATACACAAACAATAAATCTGAAGAAGAAGAAATTTAAAAAAAAATGCCTTTCATTATCGAAACAAAAAAAATCAAATACTTGGGAATAAATCTAACAAAAGAGGTAAAGGACCTATACAAAGAAAACTATAAAACACTGTTAAAAGAAATAGAAGAAGACACAAAGAAATGGAAAGACATCCCCTGCTCATGGATTGGAAGAATAAACATTAAAATGGCCATACTACTAAAAGCAATATACAGATTCAATGCTATTCCAATAAAAATTTCAATGTCATTCTTCAAAGAAATAGAACAATTATTGATGAAATTCATATGGAATCACCAAAAACCCTGAAAAGCCAAAGCTCTCCTGAAAAAAAAAGAAGGGAATGGAGGCATCACACTCCCAGACTTCAAACTATACTACAAAGCCATAATCATCAAAACTGCATGGTATTGGAACAAGAACAGACACACACAGACCATTGGAATCAAATAGAAAATCCAGAAATAAACCCACAGATTTATGGTAAACTAATCTTTGACAAAGGAGCAAAGACTATGCATCGGAGCATAGAAAGTTTGTTCAAGAAATGGTGCTGGGAAAACTGGGTCGCTACAAGCAAAAGAATGAAGCTTGACTACTACCTCACACCATACACAAAAACCAACTCAAAATGGATTAAAGAACTAGACATAAGACCTCAAAACTATAAAATACATAGAAGGAAATATAGGCAAAACACTATGTGATATGCACATCAAAGACATATTTACAGACAAATCACCCAAAGCAGTGATAGTGAAGGCAAAGATCAACAGCTGGGACTACATCAAATTAAAGAGCTTCTGCACAGCAAAAGAGACAACAACAAAAACAAAGAGAAACCCCACCGACTGGGAGAACATTTTTGCACACAACATTAACGATAAAGGACTGATCACAAAAATCTGCAAAGGGCTGATGAGACTCAACAAAAACAAAGAAAATAATCCAGTCAAAAAATGGGCAGAAGAGCTAAAAAGAAACTTCTCTGAAGAGGAAATGCAAATGGCCAACAGGCATATGAAAAAATGTTCAACATCACTTGTAATCAGGGAAATGCAAATCAAAATTACTATGAGATACCATCTTATACCAGTGAGAATGGCACATATTAAAAATACTAGCAACAACAAATGTTGGCGAGGATGTGGAGAAAAAGGAACTCTCCTACACTGTTGGTGGGAGTGCAAACTGGTCCAACCACTATGGAGAGCTGTATGGAGATTTCTGAACCTACTAAACATAGAGCTTCCATATGATCCAGCAATTCTACTCCTGGGTATTTACCCAAAGGACACAGAAACATCAATTCCAAAGAGCACCTGCACCCCTATGTTTATAGCAGCACTGTTTACAATAGCTAAGCTTTGGAAACAACCCAAATGCCCCAAAATAGATGACTGGATCAAGAAGATGTGGTACATATATACCATGGAATATTACTCAGCATTCAAAAAAGATAAACACATGCCATTTGCAGCAACATGGATGGAGCTGGAAGGGATCATGCTCAGCAAAATAAGCCAGAAAGAAAAAGAAAAATACCGGATGGTCTCACTCATAGCAGGAATCTAGAAAACTTAAATAAGGGACCAGGAAAATTAATAAATATAAGAAAGTGAAAATCAAAATCAACAAAAACTATGAACCAGAGACACTCCATGAGGGGTGGGGGGTGGTGAGGGGAGGGATTGGGGTCAAAATAAGGGGGTTGCAATTGTATGGGGAATATAAAAATAAAATTTATAAAAATTAAATAAATAAGTAAATAAATTAAAAAAAATAAAATATAAACAGGTTTGAGTTTAATTGCATTGTATACCTATTTATCCAGAAGAGAAATTATCTGATTAAATGAAAAAGCAAACTTGTTTATATCTGTGAATGGGTCTGAAGGGTAGGCTATTAGGTTAAGAGGTATGTGTTGACCTGGGGGGAAGGATGCAGTTTTTACTCATTTGTGCTCTGTATTTTCATCATGTATGTACTAAAAGAAAGGTTAGAAATTTATTTACAGAAAAGTAATTTTTCTACATGTTGAACTCATTCCCAATACAACTTTAATACAAACCTGATATTGAGTGCTTACTATGTATCACCTATTGTTCAAATGCTTTATGTACATCATCACCCTTATTTGTTACAATCCTGGCAAGTATGTATAATTACTACACAATATAAAACAGTACCAGCAAAACCTATTAGCCAATTTGTCAGCAGAGATGTGAAATGGGAGTTCCCTTTCTGGCATGCCTACTACCACTGCTCACCAGGTGAGAAGTTTTCATTGACTTGTTTTACTTCAGTGAGTACAATTTCCAAATTACCTCGTGAGCTCAAGTGATAGAATCACCAAAGGCCCCACTGCACTGTAGCATTTGGCTTTTTATTAAAGTTCTGGCTACATGAATCTTTTGTGTAAATCCATGCCAAGCTTCAAGCACCTTCTGTCATAGTGCCGCATTGAGTCTGTCTTTATGCCAGGAGAACTGATGCCTGCAGATTCTAAATGCTAAGATGTAAGCTAACAGTTTCTGCATGAACTTGAAGTTTTTATTGAGTAACTTTAGCGACAGAACCTGGAAGATGCATCCGTCTGCTCCTTGAAGTCTTATTTTCAACCCTATCCTCCAGCAGAGCTAACTGTCCTGCTCCAAACACAGTGGGCTAGAACGTATGAATGCTAGGAAAGAAAGGCACTTCGTCTACTCCCCCTTTACCAGCTAAGTACTAATATTAATAGGACGACTGGCAGCAGCTTTAAGGGATTATTTAAATAATTACAAATAACCGTATTGTGAAAATAATTCCCTTGAAAGCCACAGTGAGTAAATAGAAAGCTGTCTTACCAGGTAGCTGGGTAGAGTCACGGCTCTTCATACCTAAAACCAGAAATGAGTATCAGTGTTAATTATCTTGCATTGTTAATGCTCCCTTTTTTCTACACCTCCTCATCTCTTACCCTAAAGAAGAGGAAAAGAAAACAGACAAGAACACCACCATTCAGTGGCTCTTCATTCTCTGACTGGACAAAGCCTCAAACTCCTGGGCCTGAACTTTAAGAACTTTAATGATTTGGCTGCTGTCTCTCCAACTTTATCTTCCTGAAGCACTCCTAGCACATATTTTAAATGGAACAGCACTGAGTTTAAGACAGCTTGGGTTATTAGCTCCACTGTCACTGTAGTCTGCTAGCTCTGTGACTGAGTAGGTTTCTTAATCCCTCTGAACTTCAATCCCATATTAAGCAAAAATACTTAACTTGCAGATTTGTAGTAAGTAATGATTAAAGGAAATACACCATGAAAATACTTAGTATACTATGTGGAACATTATAAGCCCTCAATAAATGGAGTCCCTCTGTTCTGGATAAACATTTCCTCAACTCTCCATGTCCAGTAATGTCCTTGTCTTAGAAGTCCTCATGTCCCCTCCTCACCTTGGAGCCAGTAAAAAGATCACTTACCCGGGAAGTTAGTAGACTCTTGGTTTTTTATTCCTAAAGATGAGAATAGGAACTATTTAGTGAAAAATGCATTTAGCTTGAAATATTTTTTTAATCTTACATTTAGCTATTTGTAATGGAAAACTCTAAAAGCCTTGAGATATGGCAGGGATAGAGTAAAAGGAGACAAAACTTAACCCACTGATGCCTCTGATTTATGACACAGGAACACTCCTCAAGTAGGTAAAACAACTTTTGTTGATTTTTTTTTATTTTTTAAATTTAATCCAAAGACTCTGACCTATATTTTTCATGATACATTTTTAAAAATAATTTCTAGGGCCTCCCTGGTGGCCCAAGGGATTAAACTCAGTACCATTAAGTTACTGGCAGCCTTTGCAGCACGAGTTTGATCCCCAGTCAGGGAGGTGACCCCATGGCACAGTAGACCTCTCCTGTCTCGCCCACTGCTCCCCTCAGCAGTATATTTCAGTAGATCTGCCTGTTCTGTCTCTGGTGAATCCTCTCACCTTCCATACCACTGGCCTACACCCTAGCTCTTGTATGCATAAATAAATAAAATAAATCTTAAAAAAAAGTAAAGTTTCTAGATTACATAAGGAATTAGCGATCATTTTTAAAAATACAAGAATTTATTAAAAATTACTCATTCTCAGTTTTAACATTTTTACAATACTTGGTCTCAATCTCTGCTGTGGTGTGTGTGTATGCACACATGTACACTTTAATTAGGCTGATACTATGTCCTATATGTTGTTTATATATTCTTATTTGTTACTGTATTCTAAGCACTTTCTCTTACCTTTAAATAGTTTATAAATATGATTTTAGAGATTAAGTTCTTGTCATAAGAATTTTTTAAATTATGTAAAGTGACCGAAGTTAAAAACATGATTTTTAAGTTGTTTCATTTTTTCAATATGGATATAATCTTACATAACAGTACTTGACTTTTGGACACTAAGGTTATTTTTAAATTTTTGTTCCCATGAAACTTTGTAAACACTCTCTACCTTATTTATGTTTATCTCTAATTGCTTTAGGACAAATATCAAAAAGTGTTATAAACTGGGTCAGAAATAGGACATTTTTAAGGCTAGTAATACTATCAAATTGCCCTCCAGAAAAGTTGCTCTAATTTATAATCTCACCAGTAATTTATGTTCCTGTACTAGTACCCTTGTGGATATTTGAATAATAATCATTTTTTAATAAAGGGCAGAAACAAAAACTTGAGGATAGATGAGCTGTATGTTGAAATGTACTAAATAAATAAATGGATATAGCTAATAATATCTGCTAGATTGCTGGAGGCAGAAATAAATACAAAAAGTCATTAATTTAGGGGGGAAATGCCATTTTTTATTTTTCCACCCAGCACCTTAGGTGACGAAAGTTTGTGGCATAATCACACCTTCCGTGATCCATGTAAGAGCATGAAACAAAAAATAAGATTCTCTAGACCTAGTTCCTCACTTCAGTTTGTATCTGCTCTGCTAGGGGGACATGAAGATTGTTCTATAGGAGATACAGAGACTGCTGCGCTATCATCTTTATAAAGAATTCTATCTGAAACTCGGGAGTATCTCTGATAATACCAGACTAGTAAACTAAAGTAGGGCCTGCCTTCATTCCACATTTTTTCCTATGCCAGATCCACTTCTACACTCTCCTCTAAGAAAAAGTGTTTTACAAATGTAAGCGCCCAGAGTTTATGACAATGTCTTACCAGAATCTTCAAGCTTTTGGCTTTTCTCACCTATATTACAAAAAGAAACTTATCAGTTTTGATAACAGAACAAAGTAACTGGGAATTACAATAGTTTAAGTAAAACTATATTCAGGAAATTTGGCCATAGAGAACCACTTGGTACATCCAATAATATAATGCTACTAAATTTAAGTAACAGCCAGTCTAAATGCACCTTGATTAATTGGATGGAACCTTCCTCTGGCCCCTTCTACTATGGAAAAGTATCACAAAAATATCACTATCCCCACAGATAGTCTATCTCTGAGGATCTCAAAATGAGCTAGAAAGATGTATTGGAGAGTTAGCGGAGGTCCCTGTGAAGTGAGCAATAAAATTTGTGGTGGCTATAGGCTCAGAAGTATTCCTCAGCAAGTCCTGAGTACTGAAGGAAAGTCCAGATACTTTTCAATAAAGAAAAACGTATTCCTACATGGGCCAAATGCATGAGGCACTTGAATGCCAAGAAGTGATTTGGATTATATTACCATAAGTGTAAACTAAGGAGGAAAAAAAGCCTCTCATCACCCAGATAATCTAGTCAAATGATATCAAACTTCAGCATATTTGAGAGATGCAAATGACTACCTTTCCTGCCTCATCTGGATGTTCACTGTCACACAGGCTAATCTTAAGGTCGAAACCTAAGAGGCCCCAGACCTGGTCCAGAGCAACCAGCTCTTCAGGTCTCAACAACTTCATTCCCCAGCATGTTTCCATGTTGTTCAGATCTCCAGCCAACCCTTCCTTTTGTAGGGTGTAAATTTTCCCCCAATAGATTTGTTTTCCCCTAAGACTGAATAGGCTAGGCTGGAAAGAGCTACTACACATCTATGTAAGGATTACTTTTAAAAATTAGAGCACACTTACCAGGGTTGTATACATAGATGGGTTGGAAATACTCTGAAATACAAACATGTTTTCATATTACTGAGCTCAGACATGAACATCAGGATCAGTCTATTATAAAATGCTTATTGACATAAAAATATGAGTTGGTTTACATTTAAGATACATACAAATATGAGAAATACGAAATTTCTATCTCAAAAACAAATAGGTATAATTCACTTTAGAATTCATAGAAAAACTAGCCAGGAAGACAGCTAGAAACAGATTATTATTTTCAAACTTTCAAATAAGGAAATCTTCAAAAGGATCCACCGAGAGCGCGCATCAGCCCAAGGCTTTTTCTGCCAATTTTGATTCAAATCTACACGGCCTATCTGATATTGGTGACGTTTTCTTTACCTACCCAAATCTTTCCTATCTTCCTGTATCAAAGATGGCTTTTTGCTACATCCTCCTATTCTCTCCTGAGGAAGCTGAGACAGACTCCTCTTTCTGTCCCCGTCTCTCCACTGGCACAACAGTCACCCTAATCCTCCATTAGTCTCTCCAGTGTCATTTCCTGTGATGTAAATACAGGGGGTGTGCGTCTATCTCTGTGCTCAGGAGTCTCGTACGGCACCCAGGAGTCCACAAACTTGTTCAGACAGGCTAAGGTGAGAGATAGATGATCTCCACAAGCCCAAGACAATCCAGTGTTTTAGAGTAGCCATAGGCAAGAGTGGGTGAAGGGGGCACAGGGATCAAGTCACAGAAGCTCCTGGTACACCACCTGAAAAGGCTGTAGAAGTAGCACAACTTCATCAAGAAAATAGTAACTGATGGGGCCTCCCTGGTGGCACAGGTGCTTAAGCACAACACTGTGAAGCTGTCCGCAGCTTCTGCAGCGTGGGTTCCAGCCCAGCTGGCCGGGGAGATACCCACATGGCGCAGCAGGCCACTCCTGTCTCGCCCACTGCTCCCCTCAGCAGTGGATTTCAGTCAGTCTGCCTGTTCTGTTCCCCTCTCTGCCTCTGGTGAATCCTCTCACCCTCCCGCACATCTGACCTGTACCCCGGTTCTTGTATGCATGAATAAATAAATCTTTAAAAAAAAAATAGTAACTGAGAGTATGATGGAGTGGCTCCGATTCACACCTGCGAGAAACAACACTGATTAAATGCCCATTACAGAAATAATAATTTTAAGTGTATCTTACCCATGTTCTCAACACAGCCTGGAGTTTTTAGTCCTGAAACAGAGATAAAGTTTTATTAGTTAAGATAATCTATCCTGGTAAGGAGTTCAAACTGGTCTATGCCTATTGATAGTCTAATCTACCAGTTCCTAGTCTCAGATCCATAACTGAGAGGGAGGTAAATTGCCAAGTACATTTTTGTAATCACAGTACTGCCACCGAAATAGCAGCATTTTCTTTGAGAAAATGTCTAATCATTTCAGAATTCAGTTACTTTAATTTTACTTTTTACTAAATTAGATTGTTTCAAATGGCCTCTAAAGGCCCATCCAAAGTTAACACTTCCTGATTTTATTCTATGATTAGTCTGTAAACATCAGGAGAAAATTCACCTGTGTATTTAATTAATCCTCTCTTCAGTGTGCTTGTTCTGCTTTTACTTTAGTAAATGCATATAAACTTTATATGTCTTCAGAAATAGACATCATACTGATCAGCCAAAAATACCAGAATATGAAATTGGATGCTGACTTGGCTTGCTGTTGACAGACTATAATGAGTTATTTAGGTAGGCAGCTTCTGACACAGCTCCTAGTTAGCGATCATGCCTCCTTGTATTCACACCCTTGTATAATTGCCTCTTGAATGTGGACTGAACCTTGTGCTTGCTTCTAGCAAACAGAAAACAGCAAAAGTGATAACAAAAGATGGATTTGGCTTGCAAAAGACTTAATTTTCTGGCACTATGTCTTGCCTTCTCTGATCAAGCATGCTGCCATATTGTGAAATGGCAGCATGATTTTTTGTGAAAAAGGCCTCTATTGTGAAATAGGCCTCTATGGAGAGGTCTATGGGTAGGAACTAGGTCTCTGGTCATCAGCTCATGAGGAATGAGGCCTTAGTCAACAACTCCCAAGGAATTAAATTCTGCTTAATAACCATGTGAGTGGGCTGGGATCTTTCCCAACAAGTCTTACAATGATGGCCGCCATCATTGTGTGAGAGATTCAGAATTAGAAGGTTCAGTAATACCATGCCTGGATTCTAGGCCCACAGCAACCATCAGATAGTGAATGTTGTTTTAAGCCGCTGAGAAACTGTGAAGTAATTTGTTATGTAATGAGATAATGAATACAGATGTGAGAACCAGTTTTATGTGTTAACTTGTCTAGGATACACTCCCGAGTTATTCAATCAAACACTAATGTAGTTGTTACCTTCAAGGTATTTTACAAATGTGATTATAGTCTATATTCAGTTATCTGATGGGCTTTATTCAATCAGTTGAAAGATAAGATCTGAGTCTTCCTAAAAGAAGAAATTTTACATGTTGTGGACAACAGTGGTAGCTCATGCCTGAGAATTCGAGCCTGCCCGCCCCAAAGAACCAGACATAAGGATTTCAGATTTGCCTTGTCACCAACCCCCGCCACCCGCCACCCGCCACAATTTGTAAGCAAATTCTTTGCAAGTTGTGACTTAATATATATTTCCTACTGCTTCTGCTTCTGTGGTTGAACCCTGACTGATACAATAAAGAGAACAAGTCTGTTCTGTTCTATCTTTGTGGGATCTTATTGATGCTCCAATCCAAGACAACAGCACAGAAGATTTGCAGTTTCCAAGGTGGCTAAAGAAGGATGTCAGGCAGAGACAATGAATGCTGCAGGAGGCCTTGTAGCCCCAGCCAGATAAACTACTGGCAAGCAGTGAAGTCAAAGGGCCTCACACCGTGGGGCCGAAGATTCCTTGTGCCTCACACCGTGGGGCTGAAGATCTAACATCCCTTCACTTTTTGTTCTTGGTCATAAAAGGAGAAAAATTTCCCAAAAGGTACATCAGGCACTACATTATATACATCAATATACAGTAAATAAACTGCACGGAAAATTATCTCTTAAAAACTAATTATTAAACAATTTGGCCCACTTGACAATGGGAGATGGTTTATTAAACATGCCTGACAAGCATTACAATACAACTATTATTGTAGGTTCTTTTTTGCCTTCCCTTGCAGTTTCTTGGGAAAGTTTTTAAATGAAACTATTTGAGTTAAGAAGTTTCTAGGTAGAGAAAGTTCTGATAGCTGAGTAGCAGCCGGCCCCTGGTGTGAAGGCCATGAGAATAAGAAAAGTTCTTTCTTTGCTTAAGCTTTAGCTGATGGGAATGTTCTGGTGACTATCAATTGTGTTAGGTTATTGTTTAGCTGTAACAATGAATTTTAGTGTAAGACTTAGTTTTTTATTGCCTTCTTGCTGAGAGCACAAAAAAGAGATGTGCTAATTGTTTCTGCTTTGTTTCTATGAACTTGATAATGTAATCTCAATGCTTGCAAAAAACGTATAAATAAAGAACCTGCTGAGCCTTTTGGGCAGAAGATACTAACACCTCACCAAGTGTCGGTGTCTTCTCATTCCCTTCCCCCCAGTCCCTAAGTTTCAGATCATTCGTATTCGCCAACGCCGCGTCTCATCCTTTCAGGAACCCTGACACGACATTTTGCCGGAGGCTGGTCCCCGGCAAATGAAGACACCTAATGAGCCTTCAAGGACCAGGGGTGGGAATTTACAAAAAATAAATCCAAAAAATAAATCATTGTTTCCCTCCTCCGTTCTGGTGGCTTACCAGAAAGCTGGCTCGACAGGTCTGAGTGATACTCAACAAAATAGACTCATTCCAGCCACTGAAGCTTTGGGGTGCCTTCCTAACAAGGTCACTCTTCCAATTAGGGAAACTTGATATTCTCTGCCCTCGAGACAATTAATATCAGGAGCATATTTATAAAAATACAGTCTGTCCCTCTACAGACACACTATCCAAAATTCCAAATATCTATGCCTATCGTGTTCGGTTAGGGGATGGTGTGTGCTCTGCTTGTAAGTTTTTTCCCAATAAACCCTGTATTGTATTTGCACTGTGAAGTGCAGGGAATCCCAAAGCTATGACTTGCAGCAGATGTTTGTAACTCGCCAGCAGTCTTCCCAATTTGGGTGCAATTTTCCAATGGGGTAATTTTTAAGGATCAGAACTGTAGCCTGATCATACAGTTGACACGCCACCTTTATCAGGTTTTCCAGGAAAATAATATAGAGGAAGGTCAAGTCAGTAATTTTTCCATGTGGAAGGAGAAACCATTTTCTTACTATTTACGCATAGTTCACTTCCATAACTTTGGATTATTACGCAGATTAGTATCTTTGACCACCAGGAACTGTATTATCTAACGGGACATTGATGTTCTCTTCACTTCCTAACCAATTAAATTGTTTCTTTAAACTAGTTTAAGTCCCAAAGTACATTTTTATTTTGTTAAATCATAAACAAGTTTATGACAGTAGTACAGGACTGTGTTAGCACAATAAATTTAGTACAGTTATAATTTTTTCATTCCTCTTACAAATATTGCCTTTTTTCATCTAGGCACAGTTATATTTAGCGACAGTGGGACAATGTTCTGATTATATCCTCCGGGCTTGAGCTTCTAAAATCACTGATTATTGCAGCTCTCCTGCCTACCTGTGACTATACAGGTCTTTCTTTTCACAAATCTTTTCCTTTTGTAAAGCAGTGCCACCTGTGTCTATGCAGGTGCCTCTCTTTTTTTATTCTACTTTTACTAATAAAACTACTTTTAAAAATGTTAAAAATAAAAATAAAATACCTGGTTATTCTCCTTCACAGTGTTTCTTCCAAATAGCCTAGTTTTATAATGATCCCTTCAGGGAATTTTTGACCCTGCATTACCAATAGTTATCTTTAGATGGCAGCAGAGGACAGGGTTAAATCTGACACAAGTGTAAAGGTTTCACAACATCCCCTCAACAACACAACCTCCCTTGTGGCTGCTTTAACCTGCTGTGCAACTGCTGCTGGGCAGCACACAGTGGTGTGCTCCTTCCTTGCCCTCATCCTACAACAGGGCTCATAATGTGCTTCTCCAGGCAGGTCTGAGCCCTCCCTGGCTCATACTGAACCAATTACCAAAAAAAGACTCAAAAAGGCCATCATCCCCTTCACTCAGTTTCACAGAAGAATGCAGGCAGGGAACACAAAACACTGTTTAGCAACAGGACAGCGTCAGGTCATATCCTTTCAATGCAAGTCCCCACAGGAGCCCACGACTGCTCCTCACCCCATAATAACAGCTCAGATAAAGGGCACTAAGTTTACACGGATGGATGGAGGTACCATCCTAACTTGTAGCCTCATTTCACCTAAGGAAGACAATATCTCTCATAATGCTTCATGAATGAACTTCCGGAGTATGTCACACCACATTTGGGGATGCCCAAAGAAACTATAAGGATCTACTGTTCATTCACAATCCTCCCAGTTCAGACCCACCTTATCAACCACAGGTGACGTTTACCATTAGGAAGTGTGGCAAGGTTACAGAGCTGTCATTCCGCCCTTAGCAGATTACAGAAAAGAATGCTAGGGGGTGATCAGCAGGCAGCTATTTTCACAAGAGAAAGAAGAAAAGGTTTGCTAACCCTTTACTCATATATACCAAGACACAACACCATAAAATTTCTGAATGTTAGGGATAAAGAAAATATCCAAACATCCTCCAGAGAAAAAACAGGTCATATTCAATATAGATTTTTTCAGACATGTAAAGTCTTAAAAAATTTGCTTCAATTTCCCTTTTCTCAGAAAAGTTCTGGAGAACCCTTAATCCTGCCGGACAAAGGAGTGACTCAAGAAAGAGAAGGCAATCCAAGACAGAGAGGGTTCTTCTCAGGGGAGAAGCAAAAGAAAGACTCAGGGCAGTGAGGAGAGACCAGCATATTCAGGAAGTCTAAAAGCACACTACAGAACAGAAAGATGGGGGAGTGCAGAAGGATTCAGAATTATTCAACATTTCTCAAAAGTATTAGAGGAGATGTCTATTTCTGTGTAAAAAATATAAAAAGTCAAGGGAACAAAAGGGATTATACAAATCAATCTCTCGGGTAAAGAGGTACTTACAAAGGTACCAGTCTCTACTACACTTGGAGAATGGGGAGGGCGAAATGCACCAGTACTGAGGAGGAAGGTTAAGTGAATACTTCTGGTTTATTGACCGAACATTCACTTCTAATTCTCATTTCCTGTGTCCCTCTACCACGGAGGATAGAAAAGCTAATCATCCTCTTCCAAGCTTTTCTTGTGACGATGGACAACCAAATAGCTGTTCTGATCAAAAACATGTAATAGGGCCTCCCCGGTGGCACAGCGGTTGAGCTCTGGGTTGTGGAGCTGCCTGCAGCCTCTGCGGCGCCGGTTCGATTCCCGGCTACTCTCCGGCCACCGGAGGAGGGTCCCGCATGGCGCGCAGACCTCTCCTGCCGCCCGCTGCTCCCCTCAGCAGTGTACCTCGGTCCTTCTCCCTGCTCTGCTCCCTGCTCTGGCCTTGGTGAATTCTCTCACCCTCCCGCGCTTCTGACTGTACCCAGTGCTTGTATAAATGAATAAATAAATCTTAAAAAAAAAAAAAAAAAACGTAATCAGAAATCTACTAGAAATTTTTAGGAAAGCTTTTACCTTCCTGATTAAACAGACAAATCTGGTTGACATCTGCCTTCCCATTCTGTCTGTCTGGAGCATGGTGGATTAATGCCTATAGCTGAAACAGACATACTGCAAACACAAATCAACAAAACCAACAGGCTAAACGTGGTGGGACAGGAAGAAAGAACCTGAGTTACCGATGATGTACTTGAGACGTGGTGCCAACTCTGAACAGCCTACCTCCTGTTCTTATTAAATGAGAGTTATCAGTCAAGTTTTCTGGTATAGTTGGATGCAATAAAGAATTCCTAATCCTGCATGGTATATACATAGTATGTGAGCTTTAAGTACTCATTCTCTATAGTGGGCAGTCAACAGATGATGTCTAAAAATGTAAAAATCAAGAAATAATACATTGAATCATATTACTTAGAAATGTAATAAGTAAGTATCTGAGGAAAATAACTTAAAAAGTTAAAATGGATGCCACTGAGGAGTAGAACTGCAGGTAACGGGGTGGGCCAGGCTTCCTATTTTTCACCATAAATCTATAGTAGCTGTGGGGCAGAAAATATTTCCAGTCAATGTCAAATGCTCCTATGGGGCAAAATTATCCCTGGCAGAGAACCATTGATTTATATTGGTTTTTTAACTTTATTTTTTTTTAATAATAAATTTTATTTTTATATTCCCCATACAATAGCACAATTGCAACCCCCTTATTTCGACCCCAATCCCTCCCCTCCCTCCCCTCCCGCCCTCTACCCCCCATAGAGTGTCTCTGGTTCCTAGTTTTTTGTTGATTTTGATTTTCGCTTTCTTATAGTTATTCATTTTCCTGGTCCCTTATTTAAGTTTTCTAGATTCCTGCTATGAGTGAGACCATCCGGTATTTTTCTTTTTCTTTCTGGCTTATTTCGCTGAGCATGATCCCTTCCAGCGAGCAAATATATTATTTTGATAAAATGAGAGGAAAAGAAACTAACGGCATAAAAAGAGCTAGACTGGAGACCACCAATGCCATTTCTCCTTTCAGATACCCCTCACTTTCCTTCCTGACCTCACCCACGCTCTAAGAACCCCACGCCTCCCCTCCAGACAAGCACGGCAGAAAAGACACTTACCACCCAGAAATGCACATTCATAATGGCTGCAGGTCTTATTTATGCTTTGAAGGATAAGATTATTGCCAGTCCCATCCTGTGACACATGAAAAACCTCATTCAGAGGTATTAAAACAATTTTTTCACCTTTTTCATCAAAAAATTTTTCAACAGCAATTCCAAAGCACGTGTGGATGGTTAACAGAACATGTTGGTCATTAGCAGCTTGAGGCTTGGTTGAATATGCCAAGGTGAAATTGCCCAACCTGGCTTGGGATAGCCCTCCTAATGTAAATGAAGCCTGGCTTGAGCTATACACCACATTTTTGTAACTCTCTTCACAAGGTTTTCTCAGCAACTGCAGGGCTTTTGTCAGGTAAAAGTGAAAAGCTTTGAACTGGAAGTCATAGATATAATCTTTTCGAGATTGGCCAGCCATCCCCACGGCTTTGTTGAACAGATGGTAAAATTCAGTTTGCTTTTGAGCTTCGTTAACATATGCCATCAGGGCTATTCCGTGGTTATCCTTAAAATTCACAGGGAGAACGATCTTAGACTTCCGCGCTTCCCATTTGGATTTTGCATCTTCCCATACATCCACCAAGAGCTGCTGGTTTGATTTTTCCTCCTTGAGCAATTGGGGGATATATTTGATTTCCATCCTGTCAGCACATTTCAGGTATTCATCATCAAATGCATTATCTGCCATGTCTAGCATTTCAGCCTTTACCTGCAAAGGAAAAGGAAATTAACATTTCAGCAATGAAATATTAAGTGCATATCATTTTTTCCCTCATATTACTGCCCCTACCCCTTTGTGCTCTGTCAAGAATTTTTGCCTTGCTTAAACTCAACTTTGAATATGTTTTTTTATGTAGAAAGTATATTCCATTATGATTGATTTAACTCTTCTTAGCTGTGACCACTTTGTATAAAAGATTAAATGTCTGTGGGTAAGAGGTATGAACCTGATTTAATCTGTAACTCATTCATCTGAATCTTGTGATGCAGAGGAAAGAATGTGTGAAATTAAATAAATGGTGGCAGTCCTAGCTTTGAACAGCATTCTTACCTGGGTTTCCTTAGCCCCTCTAAACTATTGAGTGAATCTGAAATATCATGTATGAAATACTATATATATGCTAGATAAATACATAATGGCAAAAAATACCCTTTTATCCTTTGAGGATGTCCCCTCTCTTGTCCGTGTGGTTTAGTAAACTAACTCAGTGCCTATAGATTAAGAAATGATGCATGGTTCTTCAAAGAAATAGAACAAATATTACTAAAATTCATGTGGAACCACAAATACTCCAAAGAGTCCACCGTGAAGAGTCTACAGGAAGAATGGCAGTGTCACACTTCCAGACTTCAAACTTTAATACAAAGTTTTAATGATTAAGACAGAGTGGCACCAGAACAAAAACAGACATCCTGCAATGGAGTGGAATTGAGACCCCAGAAATAAACCCACACCTATATGGACAATTAATCTACAAAAAAAGAAGACAAGAGTACACAGTGGAGCAAGGAAAATCTCTACAATAAGTGGTGCTGGGAAAACCAGACAGACACACGTAAAAGACTGAAACTAAATCACTATCTCACACCATACACAAAAATCAACCCAATTAGATAAAATATTTGGGTATAAGATCTGAGACCATCAAATACAAAGGAGAAAACACAAGCAAAATACTTCATGACATAGGCTTCAGAAATGTCTTTGCAGATTTGTCTCAAGCAGCAAGGAAAACAAAGAGAAAATAAGCAGTTCGAACTATATCAAAGTTATGCAGTGAAAGAAACTGTCACTAAAACATTGAGATACCCTACAGAATGGCAGAAAATATTTGCATATCATACATCTGACAAGAGACTGATATGAAAGATCTAGAAAGAACTCACGCAACTCTACAAAAAGAAAACAAATAACCTAAGCAAAAAGTGGGCAGAAGAGGTAAACAGGCACTTCTCCAAAGAAAACATACAGGCGGCTAACAGGCACATGAGACATACTCATCATCGCTTACCCTCAGGAAAATGAAAATCAAAATCACAAGATACCATCATCCCTGTGAGAAATGCCCATCCATATCAACAACAAGTGCTAATGAGAGTGTGGAATAAGAGGAACCCTCCTACACAGTGAATGTAGCTTGATCCAACCCCTATGGAAAATAGTATGGAGTTTCTCAAGGATTATAAATGGATGTCATATGAGCTAGCAACCCCACTTCTCCAGGTGGAGAACTGTGGGCATATAACAGGCATCCACTTGAAGAAAAGAAAAACACTAATTCAAAAGGAAACCTGCACTCCTGTGTTTATTGCAGCACTATTTACAATACTTAAGATATGGAAAAAACCTAAATGTCCTGAAACAGAAGAATGGATTAAGTGAATGAGGCATAGATACACAATGGAAAACTAGTCTGCTATGGAAAAAGATAAACTCTTCCCATTTGTGTCAATGTGGATGGAACTGGAAGGGATTATGCTAAGCGAAATTATGACTAGCATAAAGTCAGAAGGAGAGAGAGAAATATTGGACGCTGTCACTTGTATGTAGAATAGAAAAACTAAACAGAGGGTCAGATAAAGAAAAACTAAAAAAAAAAATTAACCCTTTAAAGCAGACTATAGAACAGAGGCACCCAGATGGGGAGGGAGAAGCGTGAGGAAAAGAAGGGAGGGGGCACAATGGTCTATGGTAGTAGCCAGTGGCTGCTTTGGTGGTGGGTGTGCTACGGGAACAACAGAAAGAGGAGAGCCTACCTTTCTCAAGTACAAACAACAATGTAAACCAAGATTAACCCAATTAAAAATGTTATTTAAAAAAAGAAAGAAATGATGAACACTTCAGCTCCCTCCAACCCTGGCTTATAACCTCTTTCACCCACAAGTCTGATTGGACCATTTAGCACCTACAAATCAGAGCACTCCCAGGGAAAAAAGTCTGTTTGGTCTTCTAAAACTAAAGGCCCTATGGATAATATTGGCTTGGGGCTATTGCCAATAGTTATTCTTTTAGTCACATGGAGAATCCTGTCTGAAAATAAAGTCAAAGAAAGGCTTGGCGAGCTGAGAGGGAGAGAGATGAGGCCCTGATAACATTACTTAAAGTCTTGTGCTAGCAATATCTGAGGACTGTGCTTTATCCCAGTCATAAGAATCAATAAATCCCTATCTACTTGAGCTAGTTTGAATTTGTGTATCTGTGATATACAACTGAAAAAAGCCTAATACATTTCTAAATGATACACATAAGAATGTAGAAGGGAGGTATAATATAATTAATACTACCTTAGAGCCAGACAAATCTGGGTTCAAATTCTATTTCTGTTACTAACTAGATAGTAATTAGGTTTAGGGAAATTACTTGGCATTTCTGAGCTTCAATTTTTTCATCTGAAAAATGAAGACAAAGTAAGAAAATAATATCATAATTGCAGGATTACTGAGGATTAAATGATATAACGAATATAGCCCATGACTGGCATAGATCAAGTCTTTAACTGGCTATTTATTATTATTTTATGATATGACTATATGTACTGTACTCTAAGTTTCTAAAGGGGAGGGTCTCTGTTACATTTATCTTTGAATTTCAAGTATATAGCATAGCAACTGACAAACTACTCATGTGAACTAAATAAGAAGTATGCACTGTGGCCTACAGATCAGAAAATAGATGAGTTAATCTGCCTAGGGAAACCATTTGTGGGTTTCTACAAGTAAAAGGATAACACCCTTCTACAGCATTTTCTCTTTCCATTATTCTATACTTGTATAGTACGTGTTACATAAGGTGCTTAGGGACCTCAGTAGGAGAATTCACAGAGACATTTAGCCAGGAGCTGGTAAAGTTGCAGGCTCCATGTGAATAATTCTTAAAAAGTCTATGTGAATGTGGGCACATACGAGTGTAAGTACATGAACCAATTTAAAGAGGCAAAATAAAACTTGATCCCATGTCCAGTGCTAGTTATTTCCTTCCCATTAGCTCCCTTCTTTCCCTCATAGTCAGATTTCTTGAAAGGGACATTTATTCTTGCTATCACCATTTCATTTCCACTCATCTCAACCCTCATCAGTCTGGCTTCCCATGCCCATTCTTCCATCCAAACAACTCTCTTTTTATATCTTTTTAGATTCCTTCGCAGACCAAACATATCCCAGTTTGCTATACACATTGGTGTTTCTCAAGGCTACTTATTTTTTAACTTTCAACTCTATTCTCAGGCAATTACACATGCATATATTTTAATGATCATCCAAATAAGTCTAATCTGTCCTATATATCAACTGCCTTCTTTTTTTTTTTTTTTTAAGATTTATTTATTTATTTATTCATACAAACACTGGGTACAGTCAGAAGCGTGGGAGGGTGAGAGAATTCACCAGAGCCAGAGCAGGGAACAGAACAGGCAGAAGGACCGAGGTACACTGCTGAGGGGAGCAGCGGGCGGCAGGAGAGGTCTGCGCGCCATGTGGGACCCTCCTCCGGTGGCCAGGGAGCAGCCGGGGATCGAACTGGCGCTGCAGAGGCTGCGAGCAGCTTCGCAACCCAGCGCTCAACCGCTGCGCCACCGGGGAGGCCCCAACTGCCTTCTTAATAACTCTACTTGAATTGCTCAAAGACCCTTCAAATGTAATAGTCTAAGACCAAATTTATAATCTTATGGCTTACAAGAACCACCAACAGGCTAGCCATTATAGAAAACCACCTATTCACTTACGAATTGTTCCTACATATTTCCTTCTCATTCATCTTCTATGGCTACTCCATCACTATAACCTAACAAATTTCTCTAGAGTGCTTTCTTTATGCCATGTACTAAAGCACTTTGTCTATATTAATTCATTTAACTTTCATCACAACCCTATGAGGTACTACTGTTAGTTCCTCTTTTAAGTAAAAGGAAACTAGGACACAGACAATGAGTAATGTTCTGGACTTGGATTTTGATATCAGTCAGTCTGGCTCCAGAGTCTGTCCTCTTAGCTAAAGTATTGTTTCCCATGATGAAGACCACTGACATTTATGTACTATTTTTAAGAGTTTAATTTTGACCTTATAACAACACTTATGAAAAGCTGGGCAAACAGTTCATAACATCATTTTACAAATGAAGGACTTAGTGTTGCTATTAGAAATGGTCTTTCCCAGCCACAAGAATTCTGCCAGGGGATTTACTGACATCTCACCTGGGTTTGTAGGTCAATTTCTTAAAATGAAAATTTGAGCTTCAGGAAACTGAAATGACTGCCATCCCTAGGCAAGAAACACACTTCTCTCTGTTGCATAGAGCCACAAAATATGGCTTGGGCCCCAATGTTTGATTTATCTTAAGACATCAACATATAAAATCTCATACTTTGAAACCACTCCCACACCTCACATCTTATCAGAGTTGATCCAATCTGTTCCCTGTCTATGACACTAACCAGTCTCCACATGTCTAATTTTAGACATCAAGTCTTTATGGCCCAAGGCCTAAGTTGATTGTGTGTTCCGTACAGTGAGTGCTTTGAGTAATGACTAAGCTCACAAATGCTACCTCCATTCAGGGATAACTGAATGGACAGTCAGGGGCTTGGAGTAAAGGCTAGGGGAATGTGCTGATTTTATCTTCCTTCTATGATTCAGCAAATGAAAAAAGCTCATACTGATGAAATTCAACTACCAAAAATGCATTACAAAATTGTGGAAATAACCTAAAGTTCAACAAAAGAAATTGGTTAAACAAATTATGGAACAAGTCCATTAAAATTATTTTGCAAAAGAATATTAAAAATGCAAATTACAACCACAATAATACACTGAGATGCAACTCGTTAGGATGATTATGATAAGGGGAAAATAACAAATATTGGCAAGGGGAAACTGAACCCTCATACCTTGTCGGTGGGAATATAAAATGGTATAAGCACTGAGGAAAAAAACTTGACCACTACTCAATATGTTAAACATAAAAGTTACCCAGCAATTCTACCCCTAAGTAAATATCCAAGGGAATTGAAAACATATGTTCACATAAACACTTGTGCATTTTGTACACAAAAGTTCAAAGCATCACCATTTGTTCACAAGAACTAAAAGTGCCAACAACCCAAATGTCGATCAACTGATGAATGGACAAATAAAATGTAGTATAACTACACAATGGAATTGTATTCCATTATAAAAAAAGAATGAAGTACCAATATATGCTACAACATGGATGAATCTTGACAGTTATGCTAAGTAAAAAGTCATACATAAAGTCAGATTCTGTGTGATTCCACTCCGATGAAATGTCCAGAAAAATCCAGAGAGAAGTAAGTAGATGCCAGGAGAAACAGGAAAAGGGAGGTGGGACTGACTGCTAATAGGTACAGGGTTTCTTTTTAGGGTGGTGGGATATTATATAATTAGATAGAACATAGTGAAGATACAAAAAAAATCAATGAACTGCACACTTTAAAATGGGGATTTTTTTAAGTGAATTATATCTCAAATAAAAAGTTGCATTTTAGTACAGGCAGTAGAATACACACTGATTCTATGAACAATGGATTAGAAAATTAAGTAAAAATGGATACAATTTTATGACTTTAGCATAGCTTAAAGAAAGGACTTCAAATTAGAGGACAAATATTCAGTAGTGATGTGACAGCTAACAATGTGGTAGGAGGGAATCAAGTGAAAAACCAGAACCATATTTTACATAAAAATGTTATAAAATGTTTAAAGGTTCAAATGCAAAAAAAAAAATCATAAAAGACTATTAGGAAAAAAAGAATACTTAATATGAGAAAGAGATCAAAGTCATCATTATGTAATTAAAAACAGGTAACCAAACACCACCAAGTCATCTTATTTGGAGAAAAAAGTACATATTTTCAGAAAATTTAATGGCACAGTGTTAATTTAAAAAGTAAAAAAAAATACTGTGTACAATGTGAATCCATTTTTATAATTTAGACACACAGACAGAGATAAAAGCAGGTAAAACTATATGCTATCAGATTAAAGTTTTTCCCTTTGAGTGAAGGGACTGTGGATGATTTTTACTTTTCTCTTTTTGTGTAATTTTTTCAGCTTTTTATATTAACAGGTGGAATTTAACATGAGCAAATAAACATTACTTTAAAAAAACTGATTTATATATTCTGTCTGCTCTCATTTCAATCAATCCATAAAAAAAAAAAACAAAAAAAAAACACTCAGGCAATATGATGTCAAGTTCCCAATCCAAAGGCCACATACTTCCCATTCCCAACATTACCTGGACGATGTCCATGAGAATCATAGCTGCCAGCAGCATGGAGACCATTTCAAAATGTAATGTCTTCATTTTTCTCTTCTAAATTAAAATGAAGAAATTCCAATTTAGTAGACTTTTAAAAAATGTTTCAGGAAGGAAATCAGAATGAGTGAGAGTGGGTATCATGAGGGTCAGAAAGTGATTACCCATAAATTTCCAATGGTCAGAAGGGCTGTTAAGTTTTGTCTGGGGATCTATCTAATACCCTCATTCTACAGATGAGGAAGCAAAAGTACAAAGAACTCAAGTGATTTCTTTCTTCTCAAGATTAAATCTATCCTTTTCTATTCCCCAGACATGTCATCTTTCTAACCAAATCATGGGTAGTCATACTTTCTCCCTATCTCTTCATTGCCTCTCACCATACACCAGAAACAACACAAACTTAAAAAAAAAAAAGTATTTCAAATTGCTCCCCTAACTCCCAGCTCTAAGAATTCTGTATAAGTTAGTGCCCATGCACATCATCCACTCTTGTATCCTCTTTGCAAACCAGGTCATGCCCATCAGAGAAGGATGAAGGAAATAACAAGGCCAGTACAAATAGGAAGGCTATCCAAGGGGGTCTCCTTTCCCCCAAATATTCACACTCAAAAGAGAAGCCCAGTGAGAAAACAAATGTCTTGCACAACTTTCTGAGGGCGGGAATGAGAATAAGAAGGAACTGGGTAGGCAGCAACTCTACTAGATTATACAACTCTATTGGCCGAGTGCCCAATATTCATCACAATGTTTACAAGACTCAAGGGGGTAAATGAAAGGGTGAGAGACCCTCAAGAGTTGAAGCTGTCCCAAAGCCATTAACTGATTCAATTAAAGGTTGATTCCTTCCACAAACTATCAACAAAGCTGACATTACTGAAATGGAACTGAAACCTCTGTTTTATCCTACCAGTCACTAAAGTGTGGTGTCTGAAAACAGGAATAAACAGCACAGCGAAAAGCAGTGTTCCTGCAGGCCCCAGGTTTCTGTCTTTACTACCGTTTCTTTCACTGAAGGCATTAAGATAGAGTGCCAACACACAACTTTTATATTAAACTTCTCTTTCCAAAAAAGATTTAAAATAGAAAATGCAAGACTTGATGACAGATGACTCTCAGGAGCCAGTACGTGCCAAGCAAGCTCTGAATCAGGGTTTCCTTGAACATTCTTCACTTCTGTAGTCTGACTGTAAATAAGCCAAAATGTTTACCTGTTTTTTCTGCCTGTAGAGAAGATTTAAATGATGCTAGCTCTCAAAATGATGTCCCCACTTTCTCAGTTGTGGTGAACGTGTCTTCAGGATGGGAGGTTGTTGACACTGAGAGCTGAGAAGGGAATGCTTTTCTTTTTATAAATACCCCAGCAGTAGCTTGGCAGTGGCACATTACCCCATTTGTGTTCTGCTATTTATATCTGGCCCCCACACTATCCCTTGGAATCACTGCTGTTAACACATTAAATCTCCAAGGCTTGTAAAGCCACGGCAATTCCCTGTAGCCACTCAGTTTTGAGCCTTCAGTTCTGGGCTGCTCAGAGAGTAATCACTTCCCATTCATTTCCTTTTGACTGTGAGATGTCAAGCTACAGCATGGGTTTTACTCTAGCTACATGGCTCTCACAAGTAAAGGGATTTGCTGTATTAATCACGGACAATGGTGATGGTACTAAGCCAGGTGCTGGGATACACAAGCAAGTAAAACAGAGTACTGAAAAGCACAATCTAGTATATGAATATGCATACTTAACCAGGAAACATGCTAAAAATCTCAAGTATAGACAAAGTCCATGGGGAATACCAATAAAAAAGGATCTGGTATACTTGCAACTATAGCTCTCGTCTGAGTAGATACACATAGCATACAAAATCATTCAAAATATGTCTGCATTAAAAAGCATTAGACATCAAAACAGCAATATCCTGAACAGGAAGCAGTAACTAGAATAGGTACAAAGGCAGAAAAAACAGGTAAACATTTTGGCTTATTTACAGTCAGACTACAGAAGTGAAGAATGTTCAAGGAAACCCTGATTCAGCGCTTGCTTGGCACGTACTGGCTCATGAAAGTCATCTGTCATCTGGGACACTAGGTAGGTTCTGTTTTTTATTCTAGGTATTTATTGCAAAGATGTATTCCGTTTGTGAAAACTCACCAAGCTATATACTTATGATATGTATATTTATATTTTCCCCTATGTGTGTCTAGGTACATACATAAGTATATTATTACTCAAAGAAACATTTAGCATGAAGCACACCCACTTTTTTTTTTATTTCACTGCTTTATTTTATTTATTTTTTTAATTTATTTTTTTATTTTTATATTCCCCATACAATTGCAACCCCCTGATTCTGACCCCAACTCCTCCTTTCCCCGCCCCCCTCCCAAAGTGTGTCTCTGGTTCATAGTTGTTTGTTGATTTTGATTTTTTTCTTTCTTATAGTTATTCTTTTCCCTGGTCCCTTATTTAGGTTTTCTAGATTCCTGTTATAAGTGAGACCATCTGGTATTTTTCTTTTTCTTTCTGGCTTATTTCGCTGAACATGATCCCTTCCAGCTCCATCCATGTTGCTGCAAATTGCATGTGTTTATCGTTTTTGAAGAAGCACACCCACTTTTCAAAACCCACGTCTACTCTTCAGACTATAACCTTGAACCTCTTCCTACCTCAGTGGCTAAGTAAATTAAGATTAAGTATATTTAATAAACTCCCAACTAAAGTATCATTTAAAAAAGAGTTTAGTTAGGAAGGGAAAAGAAGATCTGCACGTTTTCAGGTAACATGGATCTACTTCTGAGTCCCAAGCATAAGACAAAGGGAATGCTTTGATCACCCAAAGCCTTCCAGATCCATCTACAGACCACACACAAGACTGAGCCCACCAAAAACACTTCATGAAGTTCAAGGCAAGTTTGGTCTCATTTATCCCTTATATGCTTTTTCTCTATTCCTGCCTTCTTTCAGTTTTAAACTCTTAATTTCATTCATTCAAAAAATATTTGTATCTTTATAATACTTCAGGCTCTGTTTTTAGGTAATGGAGGCATATCAGTTAACAAAATAAACATCTTGTCCCTGCAAGTTTATATTCTTGTAGGAAGAGGCAGTAAATGACAACTAAAATAAATACATGAATTATGTAACTATGTTAGAATTTTTTAAGTGTTATGGTTTTTTAAAGGTGGTACAAGGGGTTGGGATAGCATGGAAAATTTACAATTTAAATTGCATGGTTAGGGAGGATTCCCTGGAAATGTGATATCTGAGCAAAGAATTAAAGGTCACAAAAACTGGAGTGAAAGTGGTCAGAGAGTTCAAGAAGACCAATATGGCTGGACTAAGAATGAAGGGAAGAGCAGCAGAAGTTAAGAGAAGTAAGTAAAGGCCAGTTGGAAGATCATATAACTTTTGAAGGCCACTATTAACTTTTACTCTAAGACAAAAGGATCAAATCACAAGATTTAAGCAGAGGTATGACAAAATCTGGCTTATTTTTTAAGGGGATCACCCTGGCCACTATGCTGGGAATAGTTTGTAGGATGAAATAGGAAGACTAGTTTACAGATTACAATAGTGCAAGCAGAGACCATGGGGGCTTATGCTAGGATAGGAATAGCAAGGGCAGTGAGGGATATGTGTGTGGTGGTGGTGTTTTGTTATTAGATCTAGACCATCCTATTTGAACTTGCTGGATATCCTGCTTTGGAGAATTAAATTAAGCATAATATTTTAGACAAAAGGAAAAGTTATATATTCTTTAAATGTAATAACTCATTAAAAAGTGAATGGGATTGATCGATAGTGATACCAATTTATTATATGATAAAAAATATTTGGACTTAAATTCAGGATATATTCTTAAGACTGAAGCAATACGATGCACCTAGAGACTGCATAAGGACTGCAAGAGAAAGAAAGGAGTAAAAGATTAGTCCAAGATGTTTAGCTTGCATAATAAATGGAATAATGGGGCTATCAATGATTAAAATTAGGGAGACTGCATGTAAGTATCTTTGAAGTCAGGGAAAGAAAATACTTTCAAAAGAAAGTAAAGTGTCAAATGCTCCTGATAGATCAAGTAAGATGAAGACTGAGAACTGACCATTGAACTTAGCAATATAGAGGACACTGACAACCTTAATAGGAGCAATTTTATAGAATAGTGTGGATGAAAGCGTGGCTGGAATGTTCTATGGAAGAATGGGAAGAAAAGGAACTGGAGAAAGCCAATCTACCCAACTCTTTCAAAAAGCTTTTATGTAGGGCCTCCCCTGGTGGCGCAGCGGTTGAGGGCCGGCCTGCGAGGCTGCCTGCAGCCTCTGCGGGCGCCAGTTCGTTCCCCCGGCCGGCCGCTGGCAAGGGTCCCACAAAAAAATAAATAAATAAAAGGCTTTTATGTAAAGGAGAGAAATGAGACAATGGCTTGATGGGGGGGGGGGGTTGGAAATGATAAAGCAGAGAATATTTTATTAAAGACAGAAAATAATAGCACGCTTAATGATCCAGTAAAGAGAGAGAAATATTGATAATATAGAGGAGAGGGAAAGGAGAATTGCTGGATCAATGTCTTTGGGTAGGCAAAAGGGGGTGGGATCTAGCCGACAAGTAATAAAGGGGCTGAGATAAGAGCAGGAACAGTTTGACTAACACAAACAAGAGGATAGGGGCAATATAGTGATAGATGCTGTAAAGTAGTGGTTGTAACGGTAAAAAGTATGTTCTATTTGTTTCAACTTTCTCAAAAAATTAAACAACAAAAAAATGAAGGTTGAAGTGGTATAGGAGTCAGGAAAATTGAGAAGGTATTAGTCATCTAGAAAGCAGAATGAATGAAGTATGATTGCTGGGCTGTATTAAGGGTCCACTTTAATTAAAAAAAAAAAATACTGAAGACTGTTATGGTTCTCCCCAAAAACATTGTGTTTAAAGTTTCCATCAATAGATGTGAATTAAGGAAAAATTGGACGGAACCAACAATGCAGCTTTTCAAGCCAGGAAGAGATTAATTTTAATGACTGCTGTGGGAAAATGATTTAAATTAACACTTTGCCAAGAA